CCCCAAAACCCCAAAACCCCAAAACCCCAAAACCCCTTTTGGAAAATTAGAAATTGAGTATTTTTTAAGAATTTATTTACAAAATGATGGTTTTCATAAATGTTGAACAGAAAGGTTAGGTAGAGAAAGTATAAATATAAGTCTGATACGTTTTGAGTAAAGAGCAGGGGTTTTATGAAAGTTTAGAGGCTTTGAGAAAGCTGGATGGTCAAGTTTTCTCAAATAAATACCAACTCGTTGAAGCTAAACGAAAACTCACAGATAGTTTAGATGTTCTATCAGCCATCCTGGCACTTATTTTCCCTAAAACCTATTTCTCGCTTAAAATATAAGTTCTTTCTAAAATGCATGAGAATTTGTAACTTTGCCAAAAGGTAGTAAAATTTCATCAAAAATATTATAATGTTAAGAAATAAACAACATCTTCCATACTCAAAGTGTCAGATTTATTTGAATTTTATACCTAAAATTTATAAGAGTCCGTGATAATTTGTATTCTGAGTCTCACAGATAAAGTTTGTCGTCACTATATTTTGGTCTTCCTCTAACTTGCCTATCTTCTTGAGGTAATCTTTTTGCCTTATCTCTTGTAATTTCTGGAACTTCAATTGTTCAATATCAAAAATATAATCCTCAAATATCTTTTGAAGAGACTCCCGTCTGCACATCTGATAGTACTCCTCATTCTCCTTTTCAAGTCTTTCCTCTTCTTCAGTTGTTAGAGTCTTTGGCTTCACAGGAGGTCTTGGTTTAGGGTAAAATGCTGGTTCCATGCGTTTTTCTAATAAAGCATCCCAGTCGAAATCTTTTAACCAAATGTGTTGCTTCAACTCCTCTGAACCATTAAGACCAATTCGGTTGGCTGGCTTTCTCTGTATCAATTTGTTGATAAAATCTGCAGCTTCGATACTCCAGCCTTCAGGAATCATAGACTTTTTAATACTAGCTTGCTCTTTGAGAACATTATCTCTAATTTCTTTTCTATCTTTACCGGTATATGGCCTTTTCCCGATCATAAGTTCATAAGCAATGATTCCTAAAGCGTAAAAGTCAACTGCAACATCATGATTTTGCCTTCACATAATCTCAGGAGCCATGTAACCTGGAGTGCCACTGGTATCGCTGGCGTTATCCTTTGACCTCATCCTTGAAATTCCCATATCTGTGATTCGAATATATCCGTCTTCACCCATAAGAAGGTTTTCAGGTTTTATATCTCTGTGAAGACACCCATTAGTATGCATATACTCGAGCCCAGCAACTACACATGCGATCAAGAATTTAGATTCTGACTCAGTGAAGGTCTTCCTACTTCTCATATGATACCGGAAATCTCCTCCCTCTATCAGGTCTGTCACAATATAAAGATGGACTTTATCTTGGAAAGCATAGTGCATATTGATTATAAAGGGATGCTTGAGTTGCGCTAATAATTCCCGTTCATTTAGAGTAGAATTGACAGAGTTTTTCTTCACAATTTTAGCCTTATTCATCATCTTTAATGCAAATTGCTTCTTTGTCCCTTTTCTGACGCATTTCCACACCTCTCCAAAGCCACCTTTACCAATACGATGTTTCAGTTTGAAGTCACCTATGCTGATATTGCCGACTGCAGATGCATCGCTTCTAAAGTTGCATCCTCCCATTTTAATATTATATAATTCAATTGAAGAACTGTTGGGGTTTTGGGGTTTTGGGGTTTTGGGGTTTTGGGG